CCTAATAAGCAAATTATACCTGTAAATTATACGAAAAAGCATAATATACTACGTGATAAACATAATTTCAGAAATATGTTATGGTTATAAAATCATTTGAAGCTGATGAAGTTGAATTTTCCCTTAATACTAGGAGTTAGCCTCAGTTTTTCAAAATAATTTCACAATACTTTTCTTCCCAGAAGATATTCTCATCTAGAGCGGATTACAGTTTCCACCTTGCACGTGTCTCATCAGCATCCCCAGGGGGACTCGGGTCCTGCTTGAAGTCTAGCATATATGAATGATACGTTTCTCAACTAAATGGAGATTTATGTATTTGCGAATAGCACTGAAGAGCACAAAACAGCTTTTTATTCAAGTTATAGCAGGAAAATATTATATCTAAAACAATCATACTACTTGCAAGTAGACAGTTATCTACGTCCTCTCGTCAGAAAATAGCCAATCAAATATTTCCTCTTCAGCCAATCACAATCGAGCAGCTGCCTTTCAGACTCTACTTAGGCCTTATTGTCTTCACTCCTCCGCACAATTCTTCTTTCTATGGCGCCTGCATCTTCTACAGCCTCTATCTGTAGGCGTCTCTTTAGCGAATCAGTACCTCGTGCAATTGTTCAAAAGACTTTAGAAAATGTTATTACGAAGGACCAAGAACGGTTTTCTACTCGATGGAATTTCGATTTATTTCGTTCCGGACTAACCGAGGATATTAACAAGCTCCAGACTCCAGTTTCGTCTTCAGTGGCTAGGCTACACCCCAAATTGGAGGAAAGCAAACGCCTTGAACCCATCAAATGGAAGCTCGTGCAGCCAGATGCAATTTTCTATTCAACGCCACCCCGGAAACTGAAGGCCCGCCGTCGTGTTTCTCCTTCATTTGCCGAATGTGTGAACCAAGAAAGCCCTATTGGTTCACAGAACGAATGGGAATCAAAGGAGAACACTTCCGATACGTGTGGAGTACCTCAGAACCAAACTTCAGTTCCACCACCGGGTCCGGTTCAGAACCAGCCGGCAGAGACACCCGATAGAAAGATTCGAAGAAGCATTCTCATTCGACCACACAGTCGGGATGAGGGAAACGTTTTTCAGATCCTTCCTTTCAGCCAATTTTCTATCGCTAAGGCTTCAGCCCTGGGCTCCTTGCAGAGGGTCAAAAGGTCTCGCTTATCCGAACAGCCCGTAAAACGCTGTCTCGATAGCAGAGTTACTGGTATGTCCACCACAATACTACACTCATATTTTCGGCGATATATTTTTTATCACACATTTTTAATCATTTTAGATTACTTTGCCGTGAGCAAGCGAGCTCGGGAATCTTTGAAATAAGGTCTCACAACCCAGATGTTATTTTTATGTGGTAAGCCGATTATTTAACCGTTTAGTCACTACTCTTCTATTTGTTTGTCTGGATACATAATTTAGCTTGCTATTTTTATCTCAGATGAATACGCTATTAAATCGATATTATCATGTATATAATGCAGATAAACTTGGAGTACATTTACTGTTTTCTCAAAAGAGCTTGCCACTCCACGCTATTTTTATACATCTTCCCTCTTGTCAAGGCGTTCTATCCTTCTGTGTATGCTAATCATATTATCTGCCTAT